AAAGAAACAAATGGTCAACGTTACATTTATTTGATATGACCTTTAAATCTTCAATGATCACAACACACAGCCAAAAGTAAAGGTCAAAAATTTTCAGATGTTGTCTGCAGGTATATATATATATCTTTATAGATAGATACACAAAGATAACTGTATAGATGTAATTAATCAGTTTTATTGCCATGTGGGAGTTTGTACCAGGACAAAACAACACAATGTGAGACGGAGCTCTCTGGGACAATTTAGGAAGCGTGTGACTCCAGAGGATAAATTATCAGCGGCCTGTTAGAAAGATGGGCTCTGAGACAGCACTGCACCGAGCCAGATACCCACCTTAGTGCTTAAGTGAGTCCATTAAAATTTCATGCTCAAATCTGAACGGGTGCACTAAGGTCTAAAGGAATTAAGACTTAGCAGTCTCTTGCCTGTGTGTCTTGGGTTCATAATCTAATTTACTCAAAACTGTTTGTTTTTAAAGGCCTTTGCTTACACGTGGAGTACCTATTACAATTTGAGTTCTCAGCAGAGCTCTATATTTGATAATGATTCCTAAGGATATTTGTCAGAACTCCTCGGACGAAAATACTAAATGAAGTTGCAGAGATAGTATCGAGTATAAGAGTCTCCCCTCTTAATCGCTCATATCCACTATTTAAGAAGTGGTGATTAGCCCATAAGGCTTTTAATGCAAATACTCCTTGGATGAAACATCTCATGTTCTCTTTTACATAAATCTGAATAATCGTGGGTCACGGAACAAGCTGTGATAGCAGACATATCTAAAGTTCATGTTGTGCCTTGAGAGATGTTTAACTAAACCAACCAGTCTGGATGAACTCAGCAAAAAGAGAGGATTTGGGAGGAAGGTTATAACTGCAGCTAAAGTGTGAAGATGTGCACCCCTACCCTCCACAGACCTTCATTTCATTAATGATTCACACGAATGAGCAGAATCAACTTGCCCGTATGACATTTGCCAGCAAAGAGTTGTGCACTCTTTAGCACCCTGGCTACCTCTGCTGAAATTGCCTTTTGTAGACAACAATGCAAGCCCGTGTGTTTATGTGTGTGTGTGTGTGTGTGTGTGTGCGCGTTTCTGAGATGATGAAGCTGTGTCAGTGCCATCTGTGGGTTGTCTGGATGAACCTGCAGACTTTATCTCTCGCTGCCAGAGATAAGTCTGACATGTGCCACAGAAAGCGGTCAGTGGCTTGACATGCCTTCTGGTCTTGAAGGTGTGTAATTTCCTGAAAGAATTGACTGGTTTGAAACATTTTCTGCTAGGACTGAGTGTTTTCACATTCAGAGTTGCACTGGACTGACCTTAGCAGAACCTAGATTCTCTACGTCCATCTGCTCTTTCATAACGTCCACTGAGCAGCAGAAATGCTAATATCAGTGGTTAAAATGTGCTTTCGTCAGCTACTTGGTCTCTACTCATTCCTGCAGAAAATATCTGTAAATGTGTGGCTGCAGCTTACTCACTGTTGTTAACTTTGACTGTGAATTATCCCTCGTCTAGGAGATGTCTGTGAGATGGGTGATAATTCTCTGTAGGTTTGTTCCTTTTCGTTGACTTGGAGGCATCAAATGAGCCCATAAACACAACGCTGAAATTTCTTTAGCAAGCAGCAACCTCAGACTGAAAATGTACTTAGCACCGAGGTGTCAAAAATAGCAAATTTTGGAGTGGCCACTTAAGGCTACAAAATATTTTCAGTCCCTGTGAATCCCATTAAAATTATAGAAAGGGGATGACCTGTTTAAAGTGGCAGGACATCGCAAAAAAAAGTATTTTCCTCAGTTTTCAGGAGGATTTTAAGCCCTAAAGTTATAAACAACTTATAGTCAAGGTCGACGACTTTAAATACCTGGAGCCAACAATATGAAAGCAACAAACATTGCACAAGAAAGGTGAAGAAGAGTGTCAAGGGTGATTTGTGACAGGATACAAGCAAGAGTGAAAGGGAAGGCTTGCGATATGTTATTGAGATTTGATATGATGAATGGTTTGGAGGTGGCGGTGCTGAGCAAAAGACAGGAGGTGAAGATGCTCAGATTTTTGTTGGGAGTAACCAAAATGAACAGGATCAGAACATAAGAAGGACACCTCAGGGTGAACGACTAGGAGACAATGTTAGAGAAGAAAGGCTGAGATGGTTTGGACATGTGCAGAGGAGGGACAGTGGCTATATTGATGCTGAATATAGAGCTGGCAGACAGGAGGAAAAGAGGAAGACTAGAAAGGAGATTAATGGATGTAGGGAAGGAGGACATGTAGAGGTGGTGGTGTGACAGAAGAGGATGCTAGGAATAGGGTGAGATGGAGGCAGTTGTGGTGGCCCTTAAAGGGACCGGCTGAAGGAGGACAATCATCATCCACATCATCCCCTTTAGCGATGCAGTAAGAGACTTTATAACTTCTAATGTAAAAATAGTCATTATTAGTGCAGCTTTAAGAAAAGCTGTTGGCACCATATTATTAGTGGACTAACAGCAAAGCCACAAACCAAGTGTCCGTGAATCCAGTGGGGCATAAGTGGGACAGAAGATAGCCACTACTACTACTAGCTAGTTGGCCTGAAAGCAGATTTCCTTGGCGTTAGTACAGAAGCATTACATTCAAGCTACCTTACATGAAAGAGATGTGGCAGCTGGCGCAGATGTTCATAGCGGTTCAGTTCAGACAACACGGTCGTCAGTGGGGTCATCACCGAGTGAGGAAAGCCCCTGAGGTACCATGTGCACATCTCAAACAGAGAATGAGTAAGTGAACACTTGAGAAAAGCCACATCTGACTATCAACTACCAACTTCCCCTTCTAATGTTTATGAGGCATATTGTTATAATGAATTATTAAATCAGGTAAAGCCAATGAGGTGGAACAAGCAATTACAAACTCAATCAAAAAGACGCTCAAATCTCAATCTGCACATTTGCATTAAAACAGGTTAGCAGCTGTACGTCATAACAGCGCTCTCTGGTATTCAATTTAATGGACCTGACTTTATTGTCCCACGTGGGCACATTTGTTCTGTAGGGCAAGGTTTAGAAGACAGCTTTGAAGAGGTTTTCAATATCCTTGAAAGTATCATGCCTTTGCTCTTTGTTTCCATCATTAGGCTAATGAGGCCTCTCATAACAAGATGATGATTTGAAGATGTAAAGAAAAAATATTCTTCCCCTGGAAAGCAATTTTCAGTAATGGCTGAGGGAAATAAATAATTAAAACTCTAATTATTAACAGAAAAAAATCTGTGTCAGTTTAAGGTGTTCAAAGCGGTCTCGTGTGTTGTTGGCAGGGCACAACCTCAGGTCCAAAACAGTTGTGAAGCTGCGTAACTTGTAAATAAATACAGAATGCAACTGTGACTATAATAAGGCCATTTTTTATTCATAAGAGAACATAGAAATTCAATATTTTGTGAAAACGAAGAGCTCAAGTCTAATTAGGTTTAGAAACAAGACTGAGTATAAAAAGAGCATCAAATAAAATAGCCTCTAAAAATATTGGAACGAATTCAGAATAATGTTTTATCACTATGAGAAGAATTTTATTTAATCATTTATGTTACAATAACATCGAAATATTCAGAAAATTGGAAGAAATCTCTGTGTGCAAGGGACAAGGCCACCGTTCACCCTGCTATCCACACATGCAGGCAGGGACCGCTGGTATGAATGGGCTGACAGGGCTAAGCCCTCCTATCTTTTTCAATAAAAAATAAATATATTTATATAAATTTCAAATAATCTTAGAACAGATTACTTAAACGCTGGTGTAACGAAGTGCAGCAACAACACCAAATAGTCAAAAGAAAAAAACCCCCCACAGGATTTAGCTACATTGGCTTATTGACTATGTGCACGTTAACATATGCTACTTCCGGTGCGGAAACTCCTGTGGGGAGCTTTGTTTCCGGTGTCCTATTCGCGCCCTGTTTGCTGTCTAAAACAAGTTAAGCAAATGAATGAATCAAGCGGCGATTTACATTTCTATAGATGTCTTGGGCATTTACCCAATATATCTGTAAATTATGTTCATCGACTTGTCGATATTTTTCCCCCGCGCCTCAGAGAAAAAGAGAAAAGGGATTCAAATGTTATATTTCTCAGCTGTCCGTCGTTTCTGGCGGGTGTTATGTTCTAAAAATAACCAGCGATAGGTGAAATCAAGTAGCCAATTTTATTTTTTGACGGTGCAAAACGTTTCCTGGACATCGTGGACATACAGTACTGCACTTCAGAGTCACACTGCAGCGATTCTGTACTGTACAGGAGAGACGTCACGGAGGAGATCGTCTGCAGCGATCAGGACGCAGGACACAATGTGATGTAAAAAAAAGCATACAAACTTGCACTAAAAAATCTGCGAAAGAGCGAGGTGAAAGGTGAACCGCGTTATAGCGAGGGACCGCTGTAATTTTGAAGGTAAGTCACAACATACCCTTCGTAAATACTAATGTATAGAAACCCTTACCAGCAATCATTCATTTTTTGTGTGGCTTTTTTCACGGTTTGTTAACATGCTGTGTAGTTGTGTACTTGACTAGCTGATATCGACATAACAGGGAAACATCTGGTTTGACTATTCTTCACCTATAGTTTGAATGCTGAACATTTGCCTGTTTAGATCATGAGACCAGTCACTATACAGAGATGTGCTTCTGAATGTGGACATGTGTCTTCTGCTGCAGTGATGCAGTTCTGCTTGTGTTGACTGATGTAAACAACTGATCGATCTAAATGCTTTAAACGTCAAAATTGATCATTAGATTTTTTATGACACAGCAGTGGTGAGTGTTCCCACCTTCTGCTTTTTGTAACTTAACGCGATCTTTCCGTTTTCGAGTTTTGGACATGATTTTGGAGTATATCTTCGCAGTAGCGATTGACCGCAAAGTAAAGCTACCGGAAATGCACAACCCCACATTCGGTCTCAAACCAGGAAGTTAGCATTGTTTTTTTTTAATTTATTTTTTTAATACGTTTTATTGACAAAGCACAAAATACAGATATACAAATACAAAATAGCAAACACAATGTCAGGGGGTTCGTATAAAAAAGCAAAATAGACAGTCAATTATAGAATCACATGATATTGAACAGGGAACATAGGTTTATGGTTTTGACAGCTTTTTGATCTTGAGAATGTTGTATGGTTTTAACATATTGTTTGGTTTAATTTAAAAAGTACCGAAACGATGGTTTTGCGTTAGAAAATTTCGACTTATGTATATGAAATTTAGCCAATAATATCAAATAAAATTCGTTTGCCCTGTGCATGGGGTACTTAAAGAAACCGAACAATATTTTCTCGTAACAAAGAGAGAACTCAGAAAAGATAAAGGAAACAACAAAAACACAAAATTCAGGAAGTTAGCATTGTCTCGTGCACATAGTCAATTCTCAAAGCATATGCACCGCAGCATCAGCTACCATTCATCTTCATGGAGTAGTGAGTGACAGGCGTCAGGTCACGGCCCCTTAATTTGCTGTTCAGCCCAGAGGCGGGAATTTTGGCGAACGAGTGACGGGAGGCGAAATCAATATGGCGGCAGCGACGAGCGTTAGCATAACCGAAGTGGATTATTTACTTAGTTGTATATTTTCTTCTATATCTTTGGACGAAACGGTTAAGAGACTGGGACCACATCATCGAAACGATGTTCAAATAACACAAACGACAGAATCGTAAAGTTTGTGTTATGTGGTTTCAACGAAAGGACTAGCTAACGGCAAGCAGGAAATTCACTTTACTGTGTCCCATGCCTGCTTTTTGGAGGAGACACAGCTTGAATTCAACAAGGAATTGTGGATTTGAAGCATTTATCTGACAAAATTAGGAAACACGAATGAAGCACAAGTCACATTGGAAATAGGGTAAAGTTAACATCGCCTGCCACCTGGATGAAGGACACCGCATTGCTTTAGACTCTAAAGCACTTGGTGTCGTTTGACTTCAACGACAGGGTGATTACCGTAACATGTTTGCATCCCAGAAAACTCGATGTTGTGATCTTCACTTTAAATAAGGTAAGCCGACCCCCTCTCCCCTTAAAATAGGGTAACATACTTCTTTCCTGTTGCCTCTTACTCATCTTTAAAGATCAATATTTTCCTGCTGTAGATACCAACTCCTTTTGTTGGTGATGTGTCATTTAAGTCAGTATGTTGTAAAATAGTTGTGACATTGTAATTGTAGTCTATTGGCAGATTTTACATTTTTAAGTACATCCCTGGCAAATTCAACAGAATTTGAATATATTTTTCTGGCATTCTGCTCATTCAGCCGTCATTCCATCCTTCTTGCATATTTTGTTTTTCTAAAAACAAAAAAAAAGGGCTAACGTGCACAGAAACAACCTAGTCAAAAGGTGTGTGAAAGTGTGTGTGCCTGGGAATATGGGTATTCCTCTATATAGTTTTGTTAGTGTTGCTTTGACAAGGTCTTGTGGCTCTAAAGTGGCATCAAGGATGTGATGTCAATATATATAAAAAATAATATATTATTTTACAGTAATCAGGCTATATTTCACAAATGCAGTAACATCTGCAAACAGCAGTTCTGGGAGCTTGTGGTAGTTTATTTGACCTGTAAATTTACAGGTGCATTGTGGGATTTCCAACAGTTGTGACTGGAGGCATTTCCAGTGGCAGGAAGTGACTTATTTGGTTCAAATGTTATTTCAATATTTTACTCTTCATGTTTTTCTCTCTTCTCAAAATGAAAGAAACCAGAAGAATAGTGTTTCTGTTGGTCTGAATAAATGATAGCTTCATGCAACTGCGTTTATGGAGACGCTTGTTTATCTTCCCCTCAACTTGTAATTTCAGTGGCTGTTTGAGAGTGAAAAACTCCACTGTGCATGGGGAGGAACTACTGAGGAGTGGAGGAGAGACAGGTGAGCTATTTTATTCATAAAATGTTGTGTGAACAAACAAAAAACCCCACAGAAAGCAGATGTTGTGACATAAGAACAGAACAGGGAGAATAATCCCAGCTGTTGTTTCCCACACCAGCAGCACTAAGCATGATGTGTTTGGGCCACACAGTTTAGTTAACTGCTCTGCACTGCAGAGCTGCCTACTTCATGCTTTTCCTAATTTGACCAGCTACACGGTCAGCAATCTAGGAGCCGTCTTTGATGTGGAGTTTTACAGGGATTCATCCCATGTGAATGCATAAATCTTGGAAGAATGCACTTTGATGCATTGTTTCTGTATTTTTCATCTTTAAACGAGTCTTCTTCCATGCACGGGTTTGATAACCACCGTCAGAGGACACAGTGACAAAGTTTTGCTTCTGGGCGGGGGCATGGCCTCTATTGGACAGAGGGGGTTGTTCCATTTCAAATCAACCAAGCCTTCTGCTTGACCATCGATTTGCATAAATAATTTTGAACATTTATGATTGCTGTGAAATTTTGGCTTCATATATCAAATAGTTTTCAAGATAGATTATTTTGAAAAGTTGTTTATTGGCAGCACGGTGGCACGGTGGTTAGCACTGTTGCCGCACAACAAGAAGGTCCTGAGTTCAATTCCACCATCAGGCCGGGGTCTTTCTGTGTGGAGTTTGCATGTTCTCCCCGTGTTTGCGTGGGTTCTCTCCGGGTACTCCGGCTTCCTCCCACCGTCCAAAGACATGCAGCTTGTGGGGATAGGTTAATTGGATAACCCAAATTGTCACTAGGTGTGAATGTGCGAATGAAAGTGAGTGCGAATGGTTGTCTGTCCCTGTATGTTGGCCCTGCGACAGACTGGCGACCTGTCCAGGGTGTACCCCGCCTCTCGCCCTATGACAGCTGGGATAGGCTCCAGCGCCCCCCGTGACCCTGAAAAAGGATAAGCGGAAGCGAATGGATGGATGTTTATTGACACACTTCCTGTTTTTCACACGTTGAAATCTGAGGCAATGCTCGAACACAAATATTTGAGAAACTATTAAAGATAAAAGCCTGAACATTTCACTGGTCTCTCTCACCATCAACAAGAATCAGGATCTGTAATTTGGGACAGACACTACAAAACAAATGTCTCAGTACTGGCTAGTTAAAAGATGGAAAAGTTCCATATTTGATCACACACTGATTAAAAAAAATGTTTAAGTGTTGAGATTATCCAGAAGTGTGCCACAGCAGCAGCTTTTCAACCAAAACACACCACCTGGGAGCCTGTGACTCACTGTACCCACTGAGACTGTGTACACTCTGTAATTAGTGTATTTTAAAGGCTCGTTATTGGTCATGCTGTGATAGTCAGTAGTGTGTATGAACAGATCTGTGTGTTTGAACCTTCTATGTGAATTTATTTGTACACAAAAAAGACAAAAAACCTTAAGTAAGAAGCAGTGAGATCTTAAATCAGTTAAATTAAATTCTTAGCACATGAAAATTACAGTAATTTAAAAAAAAAAAGTGCAACAAAAAAGCACTTCCTGGATGTCATCACTTATGGGTGTCTTCTTATAATTGCAGTGTTTCGCAGCTTGGGCTGATGGATCCAGGTAAAAGTCTCATCGAGATTTAATTTTCCAAGAGAGACCTGGCCGTCATGGAAGCAAAGGTTACAACAAATACAATAGACCAACAGAAGAAGCGAGCACAATTTAAAGCAAAAGTACGTTTCCAGTTTTACTGGGAAACTTGTGAGTATTTTTCAAAGATCAACCCCACACTGCTCTCAGGGACTATTTGTGTAGTTGTGGAAAAGTTGGGACACTGAACTGGTAAGAAAATATTTTTATTGAAAAAAGAAAACAACAGTACTTGCAGTTACCAAAATACAATCAACCTTTCTTCATTTTCCTAAGTAAATAAACACACATATATATAAAAAACCCACAACCCCCCCCAGTCCCACACAGATCAACACAACCATCAAACATATTAGAGGAATATAACAGTAACAAAAGTAGATTTAAACAGGCAATACCTCTAGACTAGCAAAATAAGAGATAAAGGGTTGCCACTTGTGAAAAAATTTGGCTGTGCAACCTCTCAACGTATATTTAATTTTTTCAAGTTTTAAAAAAAACATGACATCTTTAAGCCACCGGGAAATAGTAGGGAACTTAACAGACTTCCAATGCAACGATATTAGACGTCTAGCTAATAGGGATGTGAAGTGACCTATAATATGTCCTAATTTGTGAATTCCAGTTTGACGACAGAATCCAATCAGCATGTTTATGAGAAAGCATGCTTTTATCCTTTGCTTCTTATTCTATTTTTCTTTTACTCTTACTGCATTGTGGGTTTCAAATGATAAAGCCTTCCCTGTCTGCTTAGACTTGAATCTGCTGTAGTCACTGTTTTATCTGTAGGGTAGGTGTGCAGAGAACTTAATGTGTGCCCAGCCTAACCCTCCTTTACCTTTTTGTGCTCCCAAATCCATACGCTGGTAACACTTACATCTCTTTTAAAAACCTGCAGCCGACTCCTTGGACCTGGGGAGCGTTTCGTGTCAACACGTCTAAGAAAAGAGACAGTGCAATGCTGCAGTGTTTCATTCTTCACTGTATTCACTTGCTTCTTTCTTCAAAATGTTGGTATCGCAGTCTCTGTTGCTTGTTTAAGTATTTTGTGCATGAATGCTGACAGATTTTGGTACCTGCTCAAAGATAGGTCAAATAAAGCTTTCAACATGGTTTTTGCTCTTTGTTCTGCTGGCCACAAACTTATTGAGTAACATAATTGGTTATAAAGCTTGATTTATTTATTTATTTTCTTGGTGTTTTTTTTTTTTTTTTTTTAAAAACCCAAAAAAAAAACCCCCAAAAAGAACCCCACCCCCAGCTTGTTACTTAAAGGCAAAGTTACTTATATTAGCTATTCAGATCAGCTGGACACCAATAGTGCTCATTAAACATCACCAGGACACTAACCACAAGAAGATAAACTACCAAGCCAAGGAGGTGACGACATGTCAAAGCACGTGTTTCCTGCCAAGACATGAACAAGTACACCTACCTTCGTGCATCTTCCACCAAAGTTGATTGTTACTGCCTGAATCCATAGGGTGACCTGAGCCTGAAGAAGTGGTGCTAGAGCACAGCCACGGGGGGGATACAACACGAGGATGGTTTGTAGGTTCCAGTTCCATCTTCAGCTTCTTAGACTTCCTCCAAGATAAAGATCGTCTGACTCGCTTTGTTCTTCTGAGTGGGGGGTTGTGATATTACCCCCACTGTTCTGGCGTCCTGACTCCTCCTTGCCGTAGCATATGTAGCACTTTCTAGGTCTAGGACCCTACTGGATACAGACACCCCAGGCAGGAATCGAACTTGTGACTCCCACTACAAAGTAGAGCTGGGCGATATGAGATTTTTTCATATCACGATATGTTTTTTTCATTTCAGGCGATAACGATATCTATCACGATATAAGCCAAATAACTATATTTGTAAGATTTAAATGTGCCGTTGCTCACAAGTAAAATGTGAAATAATCAGCAGCTTGTTTTTATTTAAATATTTATTTCCCATAATAAGTTCAACAGGGTAGATGTACTTAAGGAACATGAGACTTTTTCAGATAAATAAAGGCAAATATTGCAAACTACACAAAAGGCAGCCGCTAAAGCGTTTAAGTTTCAAAATAGAACAAACAAAACAGACTAAATTGTCAATTCCACTTAGAAACAAAATATTAATTCTAAAAATAAATCTTAGTTTGTTTTACAGAAGAACAGACAAAACTGACTAACTTTTGTCAATATCAAATAAACTGAGAACTAAAAGGAAATTCTCAATCTCTCCTTGTTGTATAGCTTAGCTTTTCAAACAGTTTTAACAGTTACTTTAGTCTGACAAAAGCCGAATGACGAATTAGCGCTTCCAGTCAGAGACTGAGGCTACGTCCACACGTACACGGGTATTTTTGAAAACGGAGATTTTCCGTTTTCGTTTTAAAAAAATAATCCCGTCCACACATAAAGGCAGAAATGAAGGAAAACGCTGCTATGAACATGCCAAAGCAGCAGGTGGCGCTAGATTCCTAACCGTGCAGAAATGTTGGCCAATCAGAAGTCTAGAAGCCTCGGTGGGAAAAAGTAAACAAAGCTGGGGCATAGAAGCAGAACCGAGTCGTATGTGTGGACGGACAGTAACTGTGTGTATATGTAAGCATTTAAACACTGCAGAGAGTAGAATTAACAGTAACAGTATTGTAGAAATTCATTTCACCGAAACAATAACGTGGCGCACAGTGTGACGCATGCACCAGTTTATTGTATTTCCAGACTTGCTTTCGGCACAATTTACAGTGCACGCTACTCTGTTTTTTGTCAGACTTGAAATAGCCGAAATACCTTCACACTACGGAACTTCTATGGCTCTTCCGTTCGACAATCTCTCCGGCATTGGAACCATCATCTGTTTTCTCTTCGGTCACGCTCGGTTGATTTTTCTAGTCGGCACACTCATTTCCTCCATTACCCGCTGGCTGCTTCCCAAACAAACACACGTGCGGCTTGGCACTTGTGCTGTACGTAACAAGTCACGCGACGTGACGCTGCGGCTGTGATTGGTTCGGCTCTGCGCTACTTAATTTGGATTGGCTGACCTTTTTTTTTTTAAGAGGACAAGAGCGGCGAGGTCTATCGCGATAGCTTAATTTCTCTATCGAGTAAAAGTTATATCGCGATACATATCGTTATCGTTCTATCGCCCAGCTCTACTACAAAGATGTGTAGTCTTACCACTACGCTATCCAGCTTCTGTCCGTGAATGTATCTATGGTCCCTCCTAAAGTCCAAGGGCCCTGACGTCAAAATTTTAGACCCCCCCTTATGTAAGCACATACACCCAGGCTTTCTGCTGTGTAGCTCGGGGCAAGAGACCAAAAATGACCAGTAAAGTCTTCCTTGCAGGAGCCAATAAAGAGCAGTCATGTCGGAGGTGATGTGATGACATCTGATAAACAAGAAGTCAAGCTGCTGCTGTTTGAACTAGCTCAAGGTGATATACTTGTTTTATAGTGCTATGCTCTCACTTGTATTCTGTATGCTGCTTTTGCTTCAGCTTATTTTTTTTACCATCTCATCTTCCCAAGGTCAAAACTACTCGAGGCTGAAATTGAAATTGTCACAATATTTTAAGTATTACTATTCGAAATGTAATTTGAAACGCACATTGAAAAGCTTGTATCCAACCTGAACTTTAAATTAGGTTTCTTTTTAAAGAATAAATGACAGGAATGCATGGATCTGTACTGCTTTTTATTAATGGGTCAGGCTGCTGCTGCTGCTAGTGTTGTAATGGGATGGGGGATATTATCCTGGCACACTCTGGGCATCACAGCCTACCTGAGTACTGTTGCTGACCACGGTGAACATCTTCTGACAGCTGCTTCCAGCAGGACAACGAACAATGTCATAAAACTGAAACTGTCTCATGAACATGGCAATGTTCACGGCAGTGTACTCAAATGTGCTCCACAGTCACCAGATCTTTTGGTAAGTAACTACAAACGATTATGAGGCTGCAAAATGAATACAAATGGGTTCAAAGAGACAAAATGAGCACAGATGGAAAAACAGTGCAAAGTAACACAAAATGAAACAAAGAGACTTAATAACCTTAAAGAGATGCACAACAACAGCAAGGCTAAAAACTCATTTCATCTTTTAGTCTAGGTGAATTCTCTCCTGTTGTCCCAAAACTCAAGACATACTCTGGCACCTCAACAAAGACTTGAGCGTGGCTCTCATGCGGAGATGCCCGGCGTTACTATGTGGCAATGACTTGCAATTTTTGCAATTGCATTTTTTTTCTTGCTGTGATCAAACACAGAAGATATAAAAAAACATGCTAATTAACAACTTTCATGTAGTTTCTCACCCAGTTTGTGAGGTTAAAAGGAACCCTGGTGCTTTTGTCCAGCTCAGTTTGGTGAAAACCAGAGCGACTGGTCTGCACCACCACCAAGTTTGCACTTAGAGTTGGCAGTGATTTTGAAATTAATTCTACAATTAGTTTTTCAGAACGGTGTTTTGCACACTAATCTGTCAAATGGAGATTGTTGTCATCACATGTAGGCGACCTAATGGTCTGTTAGTCTTCCTGGACCTGGTAACTCCAGCAAAGAGCGTCTGAGCCAGACGGATCCAATTTAAGCTGCTTGACATCTCTGGCCACTTCATGACTTTTTAATGTCTTCTATTCCGTTTCTATTTTATAATTCAGGAACACAGCAGTACACTAAAGGGAGGTGTCATTAAGGTGTTCAGTTTGTAGGACGACTGGCTTTTGACTCCATCTACTGGTCATTTGCTTGGCTCTCATGTTTATATGTATATACTGTATCTCCAGGAAGTGAAGGAAATAAAAGAAATATGCAGTAACGATATGCAAATCGGAAATCACTTCAAAGGAGAGCGCGTGGAGTAGGCAGAATAAAAAATCAAAAATAATGTCCGGTCCTGGCGAGCGAGACCAAAGACTTGAGTGTGCTCTCATACTGAGCGGTCTGCCTTTCCTCAGGTGACACTTCTGTATTCTCACAGCAGACATCACAGAGGAAACGCAGCAGTTCTCTTCCCCCTTTGCTGTGCTGCCGCGTGCCCTGCTCCACCCGCCAACGCACCATCAAAAATTCAAAAAGCATGGCATGGAACCAAAAGTGGAACATGGCTCGTGGTGAGGGGGGAAAGGCACGGAGGAAGAGATTAGCACTGGAGAGGTGGGGAAGGGGGTCTTACAGTCAGAGTAATGTATTAACAAAACCCCGCGGTGAGCAAAGCCGGTGACATGTCGGGAGGTTTTTTTTCCCCCCTCACAGACATCAGTGGAAACTAGTATGAGTTCAATTACAAAGAGTCTTACAGGAGCACTCATTACCTCCTCCAAAAATCCAGAGGTGAAGCAAATTACTGCCTCAGGAAAGGAAATGTATTAATGCAGATACCATTACAGCTCTGATTTAAACCATGTGAAGCACTTAAAAGCATCAGACACTGCTCCTGTAACACCTGACTGACATTTCCTGGAAAAGTATCAACACAAAAGATGCATTTCATAGATCTGAGAATGAAGTGCTCGTGAGTCAGTGGCTTTTAGGCAAGAAAAAAAAAAAAAAGGAGTGCTGCCCTTTCATTTAAAGCAGGGGTGTCAAACTCAAATACACAGTGGGCCAAAATTCAAAACTGGAACAAAGTCGCGGGCTAACATTAATATTTATTGAAATATATTTATTCCTCTAGATATAAGAATGAATCTTTTCTTATGGACTCAAACACGTTTTGCTTAAAAACTGAATATGGAACAAACAAAGCTTACTACTAAACAATATATATATTAGCTGTATAATACCAGTAGGCCAGCTCTGATAGTAATTTGGTATGGCTTCGCGGGCCAAATGTAATTAGGCTGCGGGCCAGAGTTTGACACCTATGATTTAAAGGGTAAAAAAAAAAAGGGCTTTGTTTCTTAAACTGGATCCAATTGTGAACCAGTCCGTCTAGAGGCAGGTCTAGACACCAAAGACAGTAGAAATGACATCCCTCCATCAAGTCCTGCTGGCATCTTGGGGTCTTGAAACAAGATATGAAATATCGGCGACTGAACCCATAAAGTCATCTGGAAACTGTTTAAAGATTTTAGAGCTGAGGGATATTTTCCCATGGACTTCTATTAAGCTGCCTCATGTGACATTATGTGGACATTGGATGGAGGATACAATGAAAGTGGTTTAACAGGGAATCACTGAGCGGTCTGTAGGCCTGGATTACAGGGACATTAGCAATCAGTTTCCCAGCTACCACTCATAACCAGTTGGGGAAAACTCACTTTTATCTCTCAGGACTGGTGGTTGTGATTTACAACAAAACTCCTAAAGCTCATGGAACAGGTAACCTACCTTTAAGCTGTGTAAAATTAACAGACGTGAGCTTTATTTTTTAAAACTTCATGGCAATAGTTTTATTAAGTTACGAAATCAACACATTTAAGAAATTTAACTATATACATTGGTTCTAATGTGTGGATTAAAAAAAAGACAAAGAAGCTTGACACATCAAGCTAATACATCATACAGATGCTGAATTTCACATAGTCATAAATAATGATCAAATTATAATTACAAGCTTATATCATCCTCACGAGTGAGGGGATGATTTTAAGAAAAATCTCCCAGGATTTATTTGTTCGTGTCAATGAAGAACGCGTCACTGAATTCCTCTTAAATATCGCGAAGCTGCGCTATAAATGACATCAAGCATACCTACCATGTGTTCCATGGGAAACAGAGAAAAAGGCAATGGTTTAAGAAATCATTTCTCATGAACGACTGGTAAGCCTTAAAATAAACTTTGAAGCGGTTTCAGTAAGGTCATTTACAACAGGTAAGAGAGGCAGGGTTTTACCTTTAAAGCAATCAAATAATGCTAGCATTTGCTAATTTGTTCAAAATGTACAGAAAACGAAAAACAGCAGTGCAAAACGCTTCAGTCGCAACCCCTAGAGGCAAGCACCACAGTAAACAACTATGCAGGATGCTGGACATCGTAAAGTAGTGGCCTTTTAAATACAGAAAACTAGTGTTGAAACATTTTGCACAGCTCTGATTCCAGTGGCATGACTGAGTTCCTCAGTGTTCTTCTTTGTCTCGGCCTCTCTTTTCCTTTTCGTCTTGCAGAGCGGTGCCCAGCTTCTTGATGAGTACTGACAGCACCTTGTCCAGTGGGTCCATCACACCCCTCTGCAGCCATTTGGGAATTGTAGTCCTGGCATGGTGGAAGCCCAGTTTCTGTAAGATGTAGTCCACGCCAACTGGGTCGATCTTCCGACCCGTCCAGGAGATGAGCCTGAAGGTAGAGGTGAAGTTTAAGCATTGCTAAAGGTGCATGAAAAGACTCCCTGTTGCTGCACGTCTCTTTCCATTAAAGGATTTGCTTCTTCCTTTTGAATCTCAGAGGGGAAGTTGTTGCTTTGTACAAAGATATTTCATATAAAGATTCAAAAATATTCTTTTTTTAAAATTAAAATCTTTGTTCTTTCCTGGGATTAATGAAGCAAAGTCTTTGTGAAGGGACTAAGATGCTTCATTTATTTAGTGTTTGTGCTGCATTTGTACAAATTCACAAAAGACTAATGATTAGTAATTATGAACTAGCATCTAAAAAAGGCTAAGGGGGTTAATAAGAGATACTGCACTGCAAAGTTATTGCTCATCCTGTACAGGCCATTTGTGAAATTATACCTCTGTTCATTATTTTTTGATAAAGCTTATCGTTAGGGCTGATCGGGTGACCCTTAACCATCCCTTAGTTACGCTGCTACAGGCTCAGGCTGCTGGGAGACTTCCCACTGAGCATTTCTTCTCTACTTCTGCATGTCATTAACTTTGGTCTTCTCTCTCCTGAAGTTTGAGTTTGGTCCTTATTTTTTCCTCTTCTTGCCTGAGCCTGCCTCTGCAGGACATTTCTTCCTGTGATAAAGGAGTTCTTCCTTCCTGCAATCACCTGCAAGTGCCTTCTCAGAGGTCGTCTGTTCGTGAGTCGGGTTCTCTCTTTGATACTGTCTTTTTCTTACTGTATTACTGGGGCTATTAATCATACAGCTATAAATTCATTGATGTGAATCTAATTTTTAACTGGCTCCACCTAAACTAGCCTCACACATTGCTTCTCACATATAGAAGAGTTACTAATATTAGTAAAAATCGATATATAACATTTAGATAACCAAGCACTGACAGCGCATCTTTCTGTTCATTTCAAAACTTGCATTTTTAATGGGCTAATTGCACTTTTACTTTTTACAACCCGGCTCATTAAATAGCTCATCGGCATCTCTGTGGAATCGAAAATATTCAAAGAGTCTTTACAAGATGATAAAACCCACAAAAATCCAACAAACAGAACAAAATTAGGCCATAATTGGGGCTCAGCTGTTCCACATCTTGGTGAAACGGCACAATCATTTCTTGATGGTTTCCAGCACAAACACTAACTAAACAGAAAATGAAAGCAATTTTTTAAACCTTTGCTGCATTGTTTGTTTTTGTTGGTTTGGTGCAATCATGTTTGCTTTGAGAACAAACTCGTAGAAAAAGATGCTTTTTATTTTCTCCTCTAACATTTTTGAGTGAGCTTTAGGACTCCTGCTCATCATGTGAAAGTGTGCGTCTTATAAAAACAGACAGATGCTGAGCTGACCTGAGAGTCGGCTCCAGGTGCCAGGTGTTGCACATGAACTCCCTCCAGTCCACCGTGGTGTAGTTGATGCTGTCGTCCTTGTCTTTATCCGCGGAGCTTTCATCGTGCAGGGCAGTGGGGCTCTTCTGGCCGGGCCGAGGTGCGAACATCCGCGGGGCAAAAAGAGCTGAGGACACCGAGGGAGAGAGGCAATCAGGTCTCTGCTTTGAAACGCTCCAGTTTTCTCTTTTAGCACATTCGTGAACAACAACATCAGAGCACAACATAGATGCGTCCTACTTCAATTATTCAGAATGAATCAAACGTGTGAAAATCTGAAGCGCTCGCAGTGCTACTCTTTCTACTTTGCTGCAGAATCAACAGAACAAAGTCACGGCTGTTTTAATTGTGGTGATGAAAGCGAGGTCGCCGGCATAAAGACTGCTAATTTGTTCCTTTGTGACGACTTGAAACCCATTAGGATGCTGCGCGCGTCGGGCTCCCTGACCTGGCTGCTGTGTGTGAAAGTAACAGCGTGTCACGCTGCTCCCAAAAATTTGTCCCACAGCACGCGGACAGCTTCACAAGTACAGAGACAGACAGATGTGCTTAATCTTGTGGTCTTCTCCTCCGATGGCTTGATGACTCATATTCTTGACAGACTGTACAATGCTTGGAACTCTGGAGGGTGTTTTTTCGTGACTAGTTGAGTCATAAATTTGTGGGCAGTTGAAATGAATAAACATTGTTGTTGGGGTTTTTTTTTCTATTCACTGAAAGACTAACATCGATGAGTAACATGGAAAAAACAAAACCTTTCTCTTTCTCCTTTAGATAGGCCGACACCAGGTCGTGCAGGAACATGATGAGCTCGGCGTCCATGGTGACGCAGATGTGGTCGGTGAACTCTGTCACCACGCTGCACTCCACTTTGGGTTTGCTGCTGGAGTCTGGAACAAATGAAAACACAGAGATTGGATTTGTAAGGTCATATTTAAAAAAACAAACAAAAAAAACCCAGAAAATCAATTTCAGCAAACACATCGATGTAGAGTTAGTACGACCTTTGGTTTCCTACATACTTGAGAATATTATGCAACTCAATGGGATAATCTCCTCGCTCTTATTTTGAAGTTTCCATTGCTGCTGACTGTGTGAGTCCTCGGTGTTACTCAGATTGACTCTTTGTTCTTTGACAAAGAAAATTATGATTTTTTTTTTTTTGTGTCAGCATGAATTTGTAAGTAATGTTTTTCAGTAGGGAGTATAATTTGTGTTGTCCAGGCAAAGTGGGAGATATGTCACCATAGCAACTACAAAAACCAGATGTGTAAGAAGCAGCAGGAACCTAAACCTTGATTGTTTTCCCCTAAAACTAACCTGGGAGGTTTTAATCCTTAATCTCAACCAAGTTTTAATGTCTAAATTGAACCAAGTAATTCATTTAGAATTAATAACTGAGTCGGGTATGAATCGCTCCAACCTCCAAACGTGGATAAGGACAAAAATGAAATACAAATAATAGTACAAATTATGTCCAGAGACACGATGAAATAATTAAGTTCTTGTTCAGAAATACGAATAAACAGATTCGGGCTGCGACTATTAAAAAAAACAAAAACAAAGAAAACACTGCCACAAGACTGCGCTGGTTTTGCTCTGAAATTGCTTTGCAAGCTAGACGGGCACTAACAAGAACCTGCAGCAGGGCGAGAACTGGTTCACGGTCAGGAATCTGAGGCTCACGGAGCAAAGCGAAGGGCTGCCGTCACTTCCTGCAGTGCAAGGCGGAGCTGGGATGCAGATGCTCCAAACAAGACGAGCTGATTATTCGTTGATTTGTTAATTTATTTAAGGAAGCGCAGGTAATTTTATAAACACTCCCATACTCCGAGTGTGATCCCAACAGTTCATTTACAGACTTGTGTGAACTAAAACATCACAAAAAGCTCATTCATTAGCAGATTGTTTTTATGGTGTTACTGTCACCTACCCGTTAGAGAAGGTTCATCCGGATCTTGTACGTGAATTGACTTAAAGTCCAGCTGCATTCTGGGTAGTGCAAAGATGGTCTCTGTTTCGTGGTTGTAGCTGGATGTGCTGCGGAAGCTGCTCAGCAGACTGGAGCTCTTGGCAGCCGATCCGCTCTCTTGGTTGTTGGCCTCGACGTTCCTGAGCAAGTTCAGCTCTGCGACAGGAGATAAAACACGTGGGAACTCTTTTCCTGAGTTTAAGGTCACGCTCACGCTCTGCTTTTCCGCTTTGTTAAATGCTATCTCCACCTATTTTACATTTAAGATAAGACGCGGCTGCTGCGCGGTGGAGAGAAGAGAAAATTTCTCCTTTTAGTCTGAGCTGTCTCGAGTGAAGAAAAGGTTAAAGTCTGAAGCAATCTTTTCTTCCCCAGATACCCCCAGTTAACACTTCTAGCCTAGTAAATCAGTTCTGAAGCTACTTAAGGCTACGAAATTCATTTTTTCCTTCCTTTCGGTTTATCTTCTACTAGGTTTACGTCACTGATTAAAGAATACAGGATGTTTGATTTGCAACAGTCCCAAACTGGCTTTCATCAACATTTGAAGTGGTTGCTCTTCCCCCCCCCTCCCAGCATGCTCGTATGACATTAAAGCAGCATTTGGTCCCATTAATTGATCTTTTTGTTCTCACTCGGTCTCAAGAATCCTAATGTGACCAATGGCTAAAAATGAATTCTGTGCAGCCGAACTTGATGTGAGACTAATCGAGTGAGTATATTCTAAACTTATAGTCCAAGTATGAAGTGAGATTCTCGCTTTGTTTACCTAGACTGTGTTTCCCTGCAGAACTAAAACAGATAAACACAAACACATCAATTCTGTGAGAAAAAGGGTGTGATCCTGGAAAATTCCCGTTTGATTTGGTTCACTCAGAGTGTGAAAGCTTCGTTTTAGAGACACCTGAATGCATTTTTGCCCAGAACAATGACTCTGGATTCTGTTCCTCTTTTCTTCTATTGTCGTGACTGAGTTTGGAGGGATCTCTTCTTGGCTACTACAGACAGAAGGCACAATTATATCCAACTGAAAACTGCTCCCATATTCATGGAATAATCAGATTCCAAGGACAGCGTGAGCCAAGTTGATGACAGAGTTGAAGCGGACATATCCTGCACATTTCCAGGTCGTTATTTTAAATCTGGGGCTTTACTGGCATTAATCTGCATGATTTACAGATCCAAATTGATCCGATACTAGAGCTGGGCGATATGTTATGCTTGATGTTTTTTTCCATTTCAGGCGATAACGATATCTATCACGATATAAGCCAAATAACTATATTTGTAAGATTTAAATGTGCCGTTGCTCACAAGTAAAATGTGAAATAATCAGCAGCTTGTTTTTATTTAAATATTTATTTCCCATAATAAGTTCAACAGGGTAGATGTACTAAAGGAACATGAGACTTTTTCAGATAAAGGCAAATATTGCAAACTACACAAAAGGCAGCCGCTAAAGCGTTTAAGTTTCAAAATAGAACAAACGAAACAGACTAAATTGTCAATTCCACTTAGAAACAAAATATTAATTCTAAAAATAAATCTTAGTTTGTTTTACAGAAGAACAGACAAAACTGACTAACTTTTGTCAATATCAAATAAACTGAGAACTAAGAGGAAATTCTCAATCTCTCCTTGTTGTATAGCTGAGCTTTTCAAACAGTTTTAACAGTTACTTTAGTCTGACAAAAGCCGAATGACGAATTAGCGCTTCCAGTCAGAGACTGAGCATGCACCGCTTTATTGTATTTCCAGACTTGCTTTCGGCACATTTACAGTGCACGCTACTCTTTTTTTTTGTCAGACTTGAAATAGCCGAAATACCTTCACACTACGGAACTTCTATGGCTCTTCCGTTCGACAATCTCTCCGGCACTGTTTTCTCTTCGGTAACCTTTGCTCACGCTCTCGGTTGATTTTTCTCTAGTCAGCACACTCATTTCCTCCATTACCCGGGCGGCACGGCGGCTGGCTGCGTCCCAAACAAATACACATGTGCGGCTTGGCACTTGTGCTGTACGTAACAAGTCACGTGACGTGACACTGCGGCTGTGATTGGTTCGGCTCTGCGCTACTTAATTTGGATTGGCTGTTGTTTTTTTTGTTTGTTTGTTTGTTTGTTTTTTAAAAGAGGACAAGAGAGACTAGGTCTATCGCAATAGTTTAACTTTTCTATCGAGGAAAAGTTATTTCGCAACACATATCGTTATCGTTCTATCGCCCAGCTCTATCCGATACTTTAAGTTCAGCCTCAGGCTATTTAAGGTCCCCCATCAGCCCACGCTGACTCTGATTGGACAGCTCCAAAACCAAACCACAGTAATCAGATTCAACTGTTTTCCTGTATTTTCCAATCCCAAATATTTTCTTTTTAAATACGCGTTCAAGCCTTTCGATCCCAAATAAGCGAGCATCAACGGCCCACTGACGAGGCTTTCCACTAAACAAATGGGCACACATGAATGACATGATTTTGCTGAAATGTTTACCTTCGTTTCTCATTGCGGTGACGTAGCTAAACCATTCTTTGACAGTAGCAACACCATGTGGAGGGTTTTCATGTCGCCGTCGTGTGATTTTGGTTATGGTGGCCATTGGGCTTTCGAGAGCACCACACGGCTTCGTGACCATCGTGTTGTGGCCGAGATGGAAATCCAGTGTCTGCACGATGTAGGTAGAGTCGTCTTTTGAGCCTGTGTGTAACAGAAACAAGTCATAAAGAGATGCACCTTTATATATTTAGTTTTGATCTGTTCATCAGGACTGAGCATCATCTCGACTGAATAATATTAATATTCACGAGTCCCTAAAAAGAACATTTAGTCTCACCATCCTCCCAAATTTTCTGTGCCTCTGTCCAGAAGGCGATGTTGGGCTCTTCCAGGTGGAACAAGGCCCACGACTTGGAGCGGAAGTTTGGCCCGTGGAAGCAGGCCAGAGTCATGTGATTGCCATGGAGGCTCATCGACCCGCCAAGCTGCACGGCATCCTCAGGCAAGGGCGTCTGGAAGAGGGAGATGTGGCAGCCGGCGATTACCTTCAGCACCCCGGGCCAGTGGCGGTGATGGGCCGCATCCATGTCTGCGTGACAAAGACAGTTAGGAGGGAGAATGAGAAGCAGGCGGACAAATGAATTCTGACTGGAACACGAGGCTTGTTGCTGGCGCTAACAGGATCAGATTTAGTGTGTCATGTTGTTTTTGTCCTTATAAAGCCCTCAATCTTTAAAATGTATGCTGCCTGTTTCGTTACTGATTATCTCATGAGCGAGGCTGATTACATTCAGTTGCTAAACAACCTTTTCAACTATTTGAAAAAGTTGTTTACAAATTAAGCTTATTAGAATTACAAATCATTTCACTTCCTGCAAGCAGCACAGCCGCCTAAGACACTTGCTGTGCGCGCCTTATTATGCTACAGACTGTGCTCAACATTCACCCAGCAGTATGGAACGAGGCATGCTTACAAAGCTCTGCAGCTCCTTTGTCAGTGTTGACGACGGGGGTTTTGGGGGGCAGGTAGGGGCCAGGGCCCCAGGTGGAGAGGGCCCGCTTGCTGGTGTCGAATTGCTGAGTGAAAAACTCCTGCAGCTTCATGCCGATCTTGATGAGGTCTGGTGTGGTGGACCGTGAAATGATCACCTGGAAAATGTCCCACTGCAGGTCTCCGTGGATGAAGATCTCACTGGAAGGAGAAAAGATGGGGAGGGAAACGAAGCAGATGAGTGAAAAAGGTTGTTGCAAGAAACAAAGGAAAGGAGAGCAGGCATAAATGGCTCACAGATGAAAGAAAATGGCATATATTCTCGACATAATGTCGTGTAATTTGTGTATTCTTGTGTTCAAACTAGATACAAACACAAACCCTCGAGTCCAGACATAATTTTGTTCGGCTTGCCGAGCATTTGGAAACGTGGGCAATAAATGTCAGCAAATTGTCTGTTTTTCTTCATAACCCGCGATGCTTTGAAATTGTGCTCTCTAGTTAGTGTGCTTTGTGTTTCAACACTTCAGAAACTGAATACAAACCTCTTTGTAGAGAAAACATCTGCATTTCAAAGTACAGAGACATGGAGACGTGAAGCAGGCTAATCTCTGATGGCCACAAGAATGAAATGAATAAATGGCACTAAACATGACTCATCTAAAAGTGCTGTATTGATCGTGTTGTGCCGAACAGTGCAGTCACGCTGACATCATACCACACCTTTTCTCTGATAGGCTGGTGTCCACTGTACACAGGTTGACCTTCCATTCATCCTGCAGCTGCAGGTCAGCATTACTAAACACTCCCATTAGGATGCTGGAGCCCATGTAGTCCACTCGCGCCTCTGTGGAGCCCATGGTAATCTGGATCTTGTGGCTGGGCTGCTGGTTTGGATGCTCTGAGATGTGGGCTGCAAACCACACGATAGTAGTTACCAATGAGAGCGCACAAGCAATCCCATACCTCTCAACATCAAAATCAGTGGATTCTAGTAAGTAAGGACTGACTTCTTCTTCTTCTAGTTTACCTGTTTATTGCTGCTGGACCACAACAGCAACGGGGCAACCATACAACTCACACTACACATGGCTGCTTTGTATGGTGTCTGAGCATGATTGCCCTCCTCCACAGCCCTGAAAGCTTAAATTCACAGCTCCACAACCAACAAGGCATGTCATCTAAAAATGGTGCTAACCTGTGTTAAGATATTCAACTGGCATTCATGAAAACACTCTAGGCTTCTGGTAGGTACAAACCACAACTGGTACATGTCAATATGTTTGGTCTAATAATAGTTTTATAAAGTCACACACATACAGCCACAGCTTCATGGCTTCAGTGTCTTTAAATACATGCTGAGACTGACTGTGAAGCCTCCTCTCAGATAAAAATGGCTCAGCACCTTGTTCTTATGTTTTTAGTCTAAAATACCAAAGTTAAAATGATTCATTTTGCTGTAAATATTCGCTTTTGTGTCTATTTATAAACTATTGAAGGTGAACAGGCGAGAAGGTGACGTGTGCTTCACACACACTGTGGCAGATTTAGTTCATCTAGAGAGGACACTGAGTAGGGACGATTTCAGGCAACAAGTAATTTCTTTAGCTGACTGCATCTCAAGCAGAAGCATCAGTGATCAGTGCTTAGATATTAAACTCAATGAACAAAGATCTAATATGCAATCACTGATCACTTCATTAGTTACACTTTGCTAGGACTATGTTGGACCCTCAGAGATTTTGGTCCATACTGACATGATGGGCTCATACAGCTGCTTCAGATTTGTCATCTTTACATCCATGATTTCAGTCTCTACATCCCAAAGGTGTTCCAGTTTAGAGTTCAACAAATTTATTGTCAAGTTTAAGAACAAGCTAGAGCTGCATTTTATAACATTTGTAATATTCTGCTGGATATAGCCATCAGAATATGGGCACAGTGTGGCCACTCAGGCAGGCTGTGTCACTGAAATGATGCTTAGTCTGTATTAAGGGGTCCATGGCGTGCCAACAAAATATCCCGCACATCATTACACCAGCAGCTGCAACTGTTGTTTTTAAAGTGGTCGTTTTATGATTTTATCCCAAAATCGAGACTGGTCACACCAGGCAACATTTTCCCATTTTAGTCTCAGTTTATCGTTCTTAACGGAAAGAAGTCGCACCCAGTGTGGTCTTCTGCTGCTGTACTCCATGCGCTTTAAGAATATATGCTCATCTGCACATTTTGATTTTTTAACAAAGCTTATTTGAGATACTGTTGCCTTCCTGTCAGTTTGAAACAGTCTAACTATTCTCCTCTGACCTGTTGAAAGAAATGTTCATCATTCAATATTTTCTCCTTTTTTCAGACCAGCCTTTCTAAACTTCTAAAACACAGTTGTTTAGGAAAATCCCAGCAGATCAGCCTTTTCTGAAATACTCACACCAGGCCGTCTGACACCAACAGCCATGCTCCAGCCACCATCAAAGTCACTTAAATCCCCTTTTTATCCTCATTGTGATGCTCTGGTTTAACTTCAGCAGGTTGCCTTAACTATGTCTGCATGCCTAAATGCACTGAGTTGCTTCCAGCTTCCAAGTGGCTGCTGTATCTATATATTAGCCTATTTAAACATTAAATGTAATATATAAAATAAAATGCATTTTATGCCCATTTAGCAGAGTAAACATTTTTGTATGTGCATAATATTACATTACTGCTCCCAGTGTTTTAAGAACTCTAGCACTGAACTTTGGCTCAGCTCCACATCCACACTTTACACTCTGTTAGAATAAAAGCTGCTAACGAGTTGGAGAAAAACACCAGATGTTTGAAAAGCTGATGCCTTGTTTACTTACAGACCATCTCCAGGGTGTTCACGTCTATATTGCCACCCACCACCCCGCCCTTGGAGTCGAGCTTGGATCGGCCGAGGCCAACAGACATGCTGATCTCTCGGTCTCGGTTGCTTCCGACAGAAAGTCGGCCCTGACTTTTCAGCCCGCTGGTCGTCCAGCTGCAGGGACAAACACAACTGTGAGCGCTCCTGAAATGCTGCTGAATAATGTAGAAGGCTTCTGTATGAAACATAAATGACTCATCACAAGAAGTTTCCAAGGAATAAACACAGGTAACAGAGGAAGAAACGAGCAGCCAGTTCTGAGCGCTAAACCCATTTTCACAAGTCAACATGTCAACTGTGTTTTCTAACGTGTCGTTGTGCGTTTCACCTTCATCAGTTTGATGTGTTATTGCCTTTTTGCTTATATCCAAGTGCAGCTATTTTGACAATACAATTCTCGCTTTAAATCCAGGCTGCACCCTTGCATAAAAGTTTTTATGAAGGAAGAATATCCTGAGCTCATAAATGATTTAATTAGAGCTGGAGAAGTGTACTGTCTTGCCTTGGTGAGAAAGAAGCAGAAGGTGTGTGTTGTTTGTGGAGCCCACACACTTCCACTGTGGAAGAGGGTTATTTTTTAACTTTATGGAGACCCAGAGCTCATAAAACAGCACAGCCTTAGTTATGAGGGTGCTGTGTTTGCCACCGCTTCAGCATCATTTTCTGCACTTCAGCCTCAACCGTAGAGATCAGGGGTGTACTGACACCATATTGTGGTGGACGGTAAAATCCAGCAGTGCAGTAGAGTTAAACTGAACCCATAAGAGTGGACGATAAAGGGTGATAAGAAGTGCAGGAGAAGCACCCCAGAGGCATCTGTACACCAGTTTAACAGCTGTTTACTGCAGTAAAAAGGTAAATAAACAATGTTGGCTATGTTTTATTTAGACAGTAACATTCTTAAGTTAAATTTATAACTTTAGTTTTGCTTTTAGAGCTACAATGCATGATGAAGAGTGTTTTCCAGTCAGTAATTTACTGTTCAAGCGTGGAATCTTTCACTTAAGTCATTATGTTACACTAGCAAAAATTGCTACAATTAGATCAGCATGCGAGCAAAAAACTTAAGGATTCAGACCAATCTATAAGAGAGCTTCCAATAACTTGGATCTTAATGATACCATAATAGGAAAGGATAATATAATGTGGACATCTCAGGCTCTCAGGAGGGAACTAAATCAGCTGGTTTCAAACCACATATGAACTGAGGGACTGCAACAGGGCCGGGTATAAGATAACTAAGGATTATATTGAAAGCAACTTTAAGTGTAAGGCTGGTTTCAATGATTGCATCACCTGTTAGGATACTAAAGAAAATACAGACCCTTGTAGTTGTAAATAGGCCTGATTTTGTCTGATGTGTGGCTGTGAAAACGCCTGGCTTTTCTGAGGCACTTATATGTTGTTGGCAATTGATTCTTGTTGAGATGAGATGAGAGTCTGTTGTAGCCATCGACAAGCGTTAAAGTGGGGCAGCCAAAAAATATACTTTGATTGAAAATCATGAGATACTTTCAGATGAAAGATTTTTATCTCTCATCCATTTAATTAGTGTTTTTCTTCCTTTAGTGCATAATCCCCCTGCTAATTCATTTTTAATGATATTTTGTGTTTGTTTTCCTAAAGTTTCTTTTATGTTCTTTTGATTTTAATGGGTTTTTTTTTTCATGATTTGTGAAACTGGACAAGTGTGGCCAAGATATTCTATAAATGAAAATATAGTCAATAATTTTAAATCGCTTCTGTGTTTGAGTTACCAGAGTAACCATTAAATCCTAATTATTAGCACGTGTTTGCACAGCGGTGGGTGCACTTACGTATTGTTTCCCATCACGTTGCTCATGTTCATTTGGACGGTGAGCAGCTTTAGGTTGATGGCAAACACCACCAGCGTCTCCCATGGCGACCCCTGCTGACCTGCTGCCTTCCCATTTTTACCAAATGAAGGAGTCGATGTTTTTGTGACTGAATCTAAAAAACAATGAAAAAAAAAAAAGGAAAAAATTAATTGCAGTTACTTTTTCTTCCTTATCTGGATTTTTGGGTGTGAAGATTCGTACTCCGGTAACAAAAGGCATTTAATGTTCCCCGTTACCTCTCCTCGGAGCGGAGGAGTCAGAGACGCTCCTGGTGCGACCAGGTGCAGGGGACTTGAGGTGCCCCAGGCTGCCTGGGGACATGTTGCTTCCGGTGGAGTGCTCCGAAAAGACGTTGGGGGACTGGGGCACGTGCTGCGTCCCGGTGCTGCCGTCCCACGTCCTCCAGTAAGCTTTCCGGCTGGACTCGGGGGACAGGTGATGGGTGACGTTTTCAGCTGAGTCAGGAGTGGCGGGGCCGGAAGCTGGAGCGAAGTAAAGGTTCGAAGAGGTAAGTAAAGGACACCTTTGTAAATGTCAACGTAAAGTGACTGCAGGAAATGTTTGCTAAAGGACTGCCAGTGAGACAGGATATTAAAAATGAAAAAAGGCTAAATGCACAGAGGTTAGCAGGTGGATGTTGGTGCTCATATCAGAATTTTTGGGGAGAAATGTTCACTCATTTCTGCACCGAGTTAAAGATTTTGTTTTTAGAAACCCATCTGAGAGGCAGTGCAGAGATTTATATAGAAGCCAACAATATCTCGCTTTAGTAAAAGCACATCAGTTTGTTGATCATTTCAAATAAAGATCAGCACTGACAGAAGCCTGGAAAAGCTCACTGTTCCCTGTGTCAGATGCCACATAAAAGCTGAAATTCTACAACAACTTAAAAGCCGGCAACGTAAACAACACACGGCCATCACAACACCCGAGTGCAACCGCTGAGCACTCACGTGGGAGGTTGATGGTTTGGTCCCCCAGGAAGAGGCGTCTGGCGATACTTCGACGATACCAGGCTCTCGGGAAGGCCAGGATCTCGCTCAGTCTTCTCATGTCGTACTTGAAGGAAGCCGAGCCGATGTCACACACAGCTGACGGAAGAATATCACATTAGTGAGCATGTGAAAGACTTCTTTATAAGACTGCACAGGATAAGGCCACAGTTCTAAAAGCTACAGGGGGAAAAGTATGCACTTACTCTCACAGATTGGAAAGACGTATTCTTCAGTCTCATTTATGTGCTTGTAAAATGTCCCATTCAGCAGCTCAAGCACTCACTGTGAGATGCCTATTTCAAACCCTGCGTTAGAGCTCTTGATGTTCCCACTCTCTTTTTACAGTGTGGCTAACCATTTTGGAGTGTTTCTTTTTGAACATGCAGGCTCTCCAGGATCGGTGCCTACACTCACCATACATCCTGCCTTTCTGCTGCTTCTGGCCCGCCTCTGAATGACTGGACTGGTGCCCAGGCCTGTGCACCAGCCCTTCCAACACCTGCTCTGAAAAGTGGCTGTGATCTGTCAGTCAGGGAGGCTGATTTGGTATGAGCAGCTCGTCATTGTCTCTCTTTTTATTAACTTGCTTGTCAGCGGATTGTGCTTCCAGATGCTCATTTTCTCTTTACTAGTTTGCAGACACCTTATCGTGCATACCTGCAGCTGCATGTTGCAAAGGTTTTGCACTGGAGACCGGACAGGGTTTGTTGAATAACTTTATTGTAAAGTGAGACTCGGGTTTTAAGGTTGCTTGTTCTAACTGTTTGGGTTTAATCTGGCTGTTTAATGGCGTAAAGCTCTTTCGCTATTTTTCCAATTTTCTTTTTAATCAGTTGGTAAATTTTAAATGGAATTCAAGTTCGGAGCCCTTTATTTCTTTGTTCTGACGAGCACCATTTGCCCATGGCTCTTTCACCACTTCTTTTGTTACTTTGTGCTTTGCTTGGCTTCACTGTTTGTATTCATCACTTTCATAAAAAGATAACATTTTTGCCTTCAGCTGTTTCCATCTGGTTGTTTGTGTTACTGCAGTTACCCTCCGATGAGCTGGGGTCACAACAGCCTGCTTCTGTGCTGGAGTACATTCCCACGGTGCTGCTGATATGATTGAGTACTCAACACAGAGTTTCATATCCCTTAAAGATGATTCTCTGAAAGGGTTCGCATCTGTTGTACGTCACTTCCACTTCATATACTCTGGCTGTATTTCTGACTGCTTTACAGAGAGAAAGAAAGGGGCAAGCTTCTCGATTCCCACTTTTAGTGAACATGAAATATTTAGCACTATGCAGGAGTTCCAAAAAAACACAACGTTGTGAAAGTTCCTGCTGAGCTGGGACAACTTTGAGACAGTTCACAGAAAGGATGGCCAACAAAAACACTGAGTCCCAGTCTTGTTGAGCACATCTGCCCAGGACTCCTCAGGCTGTGCGTGCTGACACATGCAACCGGATTTATTCCAGTTAACTAAAATTCTTTGCCTTACGCCTATTTTCAGAATTTAATTTAGGTTTAGTTAACCCTTCTAAAAAACTGCAGCTGCTTACCAAATGTCACCCCCAACTGCATGATTGATGTTTTACCTTAAAAGCAATTTAAGTGATGCACTTAAAAGCTGATTTATGGTCCGCGTCAGTGTTCATTTCCCTACCACTCTCCCTGTGCACAGAGAAGGATTGTGGGAATTTTAACCAGCGGATTAGCAACACTGACTCGCTTGTGCGTCATCCTCTAACAAGCCAACACTGACGTAGAAGAAAAGGTGATGGGCTGAAAATCGGGGCTTAAAAAGTAACAAAAAAAAAAAAAGAAGCACTGATGAAAAGCAGAGTGCAAAGAGTGAATCATTTTTAAACACACAGCAAAACCAGTTCTATATATACACTATAACTAAGCTAAAGGACTGACAACAGCACAAACCTCAGCTTTAGCAGTGTTCAGTTCCAGTAGTTCAACATACAGTATATTTGACAGTCCCCCCACGTTAGCAGACGACAGATACAACATGAAGATATGGATCTTCAAAGCTCTGCGTGGTTCAGTATCAAAGCAGAATCAACACAGCACCATGCTGGAGCAAAGTCCTTCAAGAAGCAGGCCTCACGACTCAGCAGCCATCTTAAAATGGCTCAGTGTATTTATGTGGGCAGTCATGAGAACATAAAAATGCTGAAAATAATCACAAGTCAAATCAGCTTTTGATAATTCTGCCCTAAAATCCATTTGTAACAAGTTCCCCCCCTGAACATTGCACTTTGACAAACACCTTCCTTTGCTGTTGCAAACTCTTCTATAAACCCAAAAATAAACTGACAACTTTTTACTTTGTATAACTTTGTGCTGCATAACAGAAAGCATATATTTGATAAATATACCTCAACTTTTGCAGGAATTGTGTCAACTTCCCAATATTGTTATTATCTGTCTAATGGACAGGTGTTTTTCTCTGGAGACGACCGTGTACCTGAGATGTTGATGAGGGTGGTGTCCATTTTACCCCCTTTAAGAGGAATAAAGCTCTCAATGAAAGTGGGGCCTCCTGTTCGCCTCATCCTCGATAAGCTGACCTTCACAAACTCCAGGTTGATGCTCAGAGAGTCTTTCCTTCCTGTCACTGAAGTCGACTCCTCATCCACGGTACCTTCGGGAGGGGGAGGAGATATGGGTGATGGGATCAGCTGGCATGTAATTGTTTTACATCAATCCTATCTAGAAGAGGTGCATTTATTAGTGGATAAAATGCAGTCCTGTATCTTTAACAGATAAGAATAACACAAATGTTTAGCATACCTAACGGCCCTTGGCCCGGAGGCAACCCCGTGACTGCAGATTTCTGCTTTCCGGCGCCGTAGGGGTGGAAGACGTAGAGGGAGAAGTCAGACATGCAGGCTGTAAAGCTGAGGCCCGAGGAGTTACTCGGGGGCCCGGTGAGGTCGGACTGGCTGCTGCTGTGACGGCTTCTGCCCAGAGGGCTCCCCAACAACGGAGATGCTGGAAGGGGGCAGGAGAGACAAAAGAAATCATCCAGTCACACACTCATTAACAGCACTGTACACTTGTGATATATATAAGTCTAACATCCTCTAATGCATTAGCACTAACACAATTTCAGGATGGAAAGGCGTGAGCTACCAGCTATCCAACCTGTGCATTTAGTGACTCACAGATTTCCAAGACCTGAGATGCATCTTAACATGCATCATCTGGCATAAAGACAGACTGGAGAGAAGAGTAATGAATGCAGGAGAACATGCTGCGAGCAACATTAACTCACACAGGGCTCAGACATGCCATGGAGTGGCAGCTAATAGATATTCTCACGGTGTGCGAAAGACTTTAAAAGACTGTTTCGTTCACGTATCTCTGCACACATTAGAGCGCCATTATTCTGCCAAAATAAACGGGGAAGTCATGCTCTAGATACCTTTGCTGGGAGGTGGTTTGGGGATATGCTGCCCGGGTGGAGTTGAGGAGGGCTGGTGTGACCCGTCTGTCACATGGGCTCCTGTCGGGGTCTCCAGTTCTCCACGGTTAGAGGAGAAGACCAGGTCTAACGAGGGCAGTTTGAGCATACACTCCACCCTGGACATTGGCAGGCAGCTGAAGCGGATCTGAGAGGGCTGGAAACAGAAGACAGTAGATGTTTTCATACACTAAAATTCTCATTTTAGTGTAAATTTATGACTTGTAATTGTTATTTGTCATAATACTTTCCTTGTGCTTTTAGTTTTTTCTTACATGTAACACATTAATTATTATTTATATAAACAGTCGACTTAAATTCCAAAGCAGCTCTGAAGAAATTGCACGAATGACAGCTCATCAGTACCTGGACTCTGACGTAGACAACCACATCCACGGGGAAGGAGGAGTATGCCGACGTTGAAGAGGAAACCAGGGAGGTGGTCGATTCCTCGAGCTGTTCCACTGTATCAAACTGACCCATGTCTTCCTCCTGGGATGCCACAGCTGATGGAAAGACATCAGAAGAAGTTTACTATGAATATCAAGACACACAATTCCTCCAAGAACACTGTCCCAAAGGACTGGTTTTAAAAACACACCTGTGTAGTTCCTGTCCACTGGAGTGATAGGAATTGTCTCAAGTGCTTTTTCCAGAAAGTCCAGCAGACAGGGGCTGATCACCATCTCCTCTGGCAGGGTCTGGAGGGCCACCCAGGCATACAGCTTGGCCGTCTTTACCCCTCCACTGCTCTTACCTTTAGCTGCAAAGACACATGAAAGTTAAAGTCATCTCCACACTCTAACAGCACTTTCAGAAGTTTGTTTCTTGAACTTCAAATAAACTGGAATCATATTAACAGAGGTTCTTTTAAACTGTCTTTTTGAGTCTCTCCCTCTGTGGGGCGCATCAATATGCATGAACCCGTTTGATCAAAGGGTGCCCTCTAGAGCCATGCCTTTAAAAAAAAAAAAAAAAAAAAAAAAAGGGATGGAATCGCATGCATTTGATTTGGACGGTCCACGTGTAGATTTAAATCATCGGATCGAAGAGGCGTGGCACTCTAGTGTCGGCGATTATGGATGGTAGAAGGGCATGCAATTAAATGAGGGAATGCTCAGTACCTGATGGAATAGGTGGGGGCGGGGGAGGTAGGAGCGAGTTAGTCTTGCTTTGGACAGCATTGGGAGGATTTGGAGGGCCGCTATCTTTCATACCATACAGCTTCGACTCTTTGGAGAGAGTGCGGGGGAGAGAGGATCCACGCGAGGCGTTGGGTGACTCCGTCTTCAGGGTCTTTGAGTTGTAGTGCAACTGCAGGGAAAAATAAAGGAAAAAATAATTATTTAAAGCACAAAAAAGAACCTTGGCAGTTTGGATGATGTAGGAGAATCTGACCTTCACGTCCACTCCTGGAATGTAGAAAACTGTAGTCTCCAAGTCATTGGATTTGGTCGGCAGAGTGGAGGGACACTTCTTTCCAGCTAGGAGATGGCTGGAAGAGGGGTAGTTGGGCTGGAGCTTCTTCTTCTTGGGAGGAGATTCTTGGTCCAGGTTTTTGAGGCTGCGCTCACAGCTCCTATAAAACCCAAATTACTGAACTGAATATAGAATGTCTCATTTCTTCTGTCCAGTGAGGATAAACCATCACAGCTGTTCAGCTACTTCTGCTAATATAGAGTCTGATTTAATCTACGCTTAATACTACATTTGGGAGGAAATGTGAGACCAACTTTAAATAGGAGTTTGCATTTCCCAGATTAAGAAATTAACTTTTTACTGCACCTCCTCAAAGAAACATCCTCGTGCTCGGGCTGTTGAGTAGTAGGGTGAAGGACGCACTTCCCGCTGTCGATTTCCACACGGACATCCAGCTCAAAGTCGATGTTTCTTTCCGTCGTTGGGCCACTGAAGCTGCGGTTGGCAGGAGTGCCTGGCCAGCGCTCACTGAACAACTGACTCACAGCAGAAAAGCCCGAGGACTTTCTCTGAGACGTTTGGCTGAGAATCAGGGAGGACAGCACAGTTTAGTGAATGCTGAAAATTGAAAAGCTTTTCTTTTTTAGACAAAAAAGAAATTAATGGCGCTTTCTTTTCCTAACTGTCATAACAAGCACGCCTGCACTGACAAACGCAATAAACTCACACAGGCCTTCGATAGCTCTGCTGTCTGTCATGCTCGAAGTCGTCCTTGTCCGAGTCTTCCGAGGAGGAAGAGGACAGGTCATCGCGCCTTATGTCGTCATGCTGGAAGGGAAGTGTGGGTGAGAAGACAGCAGGGGTGGCGGGGGCACTGAAAACTGAGTGATGACCATCGACAACAGATAGGGGATGGAGATGGAGGTGATGAGGATGGGATGAATCGTCAATGGAGACTGTCGACAGGTCCCCCTCTGACTCCTCAGGGAACTTTAGAAAAGGACAAAAGGTCAAACTCACACAGGAAATGGTTTAATGTCTGTCTAAATTTGTTCCTACGTGGAGACATCGATCCAGGGAATCTGAGAGCTGGAGCTGATGTCTTCAGCAGAAATCCACCCAAAAAAGGAAGTAGTGTTCTGTAGACTGGACCTTATTAATTAGTTTAACTGATCAGTTCTGAAATTTGTGTTTACTCCTCAAATCAAATTTAATCTTTTACTTCTGCAGGTCCAGAGGCAGAACACTACTGCCTGCAACTGTTCACCGAGGAGCTCAGAGGTCATGCACTTTCTGTGAAGAGGAATGACAGCTTGAAACAAAGGAAGAAGATGAGGATGAGTAGATGACATACCCCGTCTCAGGATGGTGACAACAGAAAAATGCCCAAGAAAGTGTAGAAGTATCCTTATGACAGCCAGGGACAAAGCCCATTTGTGTAGGGTCAACAGATCCCAAACACACTGACAGAGGTGAGCATCAGTTAAATTAGAAATAATCCATCTGCGACACAAATACTCCTTATAGGACAATATAGAGTTTTATATGAATGTGGTATTGATTTATTGAGCAAGTCTTGTTCTTTCATCAAAAAGTTAGAGATTATTATTATTTTTTAATTAATATCAGGATTATTGTTATCAATTTCACCGTTAATGATTTTATTGGAAAAAAAAAAAATAGAAAGATTTACACTCACCAAGAAAATAACACAACTGCACAACAGATTCATCACCATTCAGTTACAGTGCTGAGCAAATAAACCCAACGAAAGCTCCTTTGGGAGATTAAATAACTCATGTCATCAAAGGAATTTTGATTACGCTATTGACGAATATTTTAAGTGGCTACAGGTTGCTTGGCAACTACATAATAAGGTCACCATTTCATTATAAGACTTCAATCTCTTGGTTTTGTTAAAATTAAGTAAAAATAAATGATTTTTTTTAAACAAAATCATCTTTTATGATGGATTATGTGACGTTCACACATGCCTGTGACCACCTGTTTAACCCTAAAATTTCACTTGGACTTTTTAAAAAAAAATTGTTAATAAGTAATTAAAACAGTCGGGTAGGGGAGGGAACTTTCTTGTGGCTTCTAAAGAGAGGATTGTCTGAAAAAGGTTTGGGAGCCACAGTTATGAAAGTTGTTTGCAGTTTATGTTTGCAGTCACGCCCGCAAATAATAAGCAAGTTTTCTTATATAGTTATTATTCTCCTCAACACACATGAGTGCCGTCTTCACAGTATGAGCCACAAATGCTGCTTCAGGGATGTGGGGTTAAAGAGAATGGATTCTTTTCCCCAGAATGTCTGAGTTATTATTTGTGATTGTGGCATTTTAAAAGGTAAACTGGTGACTTTATATTAAACGTATTATTTATTTTATCCTCGTGAAGTTTTTGGTATTGTTGGGGGCGATTAAGGACCTGCTGTTGTGACAAACAAAAGCCGACAGACTGTGACTCAGTGGCCATCCATGCATAGTTGTTAGAAATCACTCAATATACTAAGGTTAAAAAAAAGAAAAAAGCTGATGGATTATTTTATGCAGTTTCAAGACAGGATGAGTGTGTGTGGGGTGTGAAACTATAATTCATTAAGCAGCAATTCAACTGTAAAGTGTTTTTATTCTGCAAACAATTGATTTTCTGAGAACTTTCTTGGGTTGAGGTCATTCTAAATAAAAGCAGGGATGAATTGCTGACTCTTACACTCAGCAGCTAAGGGAATAGTAGGTTTTATTATAAATCCGGATGATCCTCATGCACCAGTAATAAATCAAAATCTAACTTATTATGCAAATGAATGTCTACTGCATATAGCCGAAAGTTCCCGTCTTATCATCCTGTTTTGATTTTGCATTTTCAAAATCCTGTCAGCACTGTCAAGGTAATCACAGAGGAGAGGAGGAAACAGAAGTTTTTGATCAGCGTTGGTTATGCATTTTCATTTTTTAAATTTTATTCTTGGACCATATACCTTGAATATATCTCCTGGACTGACAGGTGCAGACTCCAAAGCCTGATTATTAATCTTTAATTGGACAGAAGAGTTATTTTTAAAACAAGAGTTCATCCCTCTGTTTCTACTGCAACATACTGTACAAATCAGCTGTAACAGAGATCAGTTATGGTAACAAACAAACATGTAAATGATGGATGAGATGCAGATGATCGCATATAAAATTGCACAAAACTAAAAAAACAAAAAACAGAATATTGATTTGTTTGGAAATGCTTTAATTTATAAATAAATCAATTAAGAGGTACAATGCAATCTATTAATGTGCTACAGCAATGGATATCTGACACATGAAGGAGGCAGGCTTACCGTGTCCTGGATGTTGAAGGTGACCCGTGGTGCCGGAGAGGACACGTCCACACGGATATCTGGGAAATCTGCATCCACATCTCCGATTCTGGAACTGAAGCCAACATTGTGAGGATCTCATTTTTATTTGATTTTGTTTCAGAACATATGGCATTTAATCAGCCAACACTTGTCAAAGCCCGGCCTGTTATTAGTACGATTCGTTTCAAGTCATTGTTGAGCATTTGTTGACCCCTCCAGAGTAAATATTTTTCTCCTGTGAAAGGTCTGAACTGCCTGAATATCAATACTACATTAATCCTGAGATAATCTGCATAATTACTATAAACAAAATGCAATGAGCACTTCCTCTTCACTACATTCTAATTTGTGAGTCACTCTGTCCCTCTTTGTCAGCAAGATAATGGGAAAATGTTTGAAAAACATAATGGCAGCAGCAGCAGCAGCAGCAGAGAAGTGAGACAGAGGTCACATGGTCCTGTTTGTTTACAGTGAAGCTCCCTTAATGGTGTCATTTCTATGATAATCTGATACCAGGGAAGGTGCCTCCTGCTGCCCTTCTTTGTTACCTTTGTCTGTCCATCCTTTTTAGAGGTGGCCGGCCTGCTGCCGCTGAGATGCTTTTGGAGCGGTTGTAGCTTGGTTTGTAGCCAAGACCCCACTTATCCTTTAGAGAGGCCGCCTGGGAAAGAACAAACACAGCTACAAACGGGTCCATAAAAGGATAAACATGACCAACACCCTAGCATGATTTCATGCTATTTTAAGTTAAGGTGCTGTGGCGAATGCACTTCTACTCGGGGAAGGTAAAGAGACGGGGGATTCACCCTCATGCTGGAGCGACGCAGCTTCTTTCTGACATCTCTCCTGATGTCTTTGACGGCCACAGACTCCAGCTGTTGATAGCGCTGGATCTCCTGATTGATGGTTCCTTCGCTGGCCCCCAGTTTCCTGCGTTCGTAAGAAGAGGACACGGCTTGTCACTTAGTTGTTGCAACTCTTTAAACAGAACAGTTACAAAAAGCTGGAGTCTTACTTGAGGTCATCGATGACTTTGGCTTGCTCATTCAGTTCTCGGATGTCAATGACCCTTTTTGTGAACTTCCTCCCACGAGCATCAATTATCTGGTTTCCTGACACCATGGGCCTTCTGGGGTCAACTGCCTCCTGTTGCACCAAAGCAGGAAACCAAACACACATGGAAACACACAGATGTGGTTAAATTGATTGACAACTGTGACAAACTTTCTGATCAACAGATTGTGCAATAAGAATCCATCGTCCCGATGTCCCAGTTTCTGATTAAAAGGTGCATTTTTGTGATTCAATCATTAGAAGTTTATCTGTAGAATTATCCACACACCAGGAGCCATGTCACAAATAAGAGACACCACCACCACCACCACAACTCCTAGTGAAAGAAGGAAACAAAGCTTTATTGCCAAAGGGAATTATGGGCCACTAATCTACTTCTTTTCACCCATCATTGAAGCTTAATGAGGAGGGCAGTGGAAGCAAATAACACAGCTCAGAATTTTGGAATCCACAGCCTTCATCACTTAAGTGCAAGTGCCTGAAATGTGACCTTGTAAGTGATTCAACCAGCCTGGAGAAAAGTTTAACACTGCGGGCGGCTACATACACAAGCCCAGGAGAGGGGTCTTTGGGTTCTGCCACTGCCTGGTAGGCAAGGAGATGCACAGTTTAAGTAGTCGATGGGGACAGATATGCTCTGAGGCCTGGGGCTGAGGCCCAGGATGTGGTTTACCAGACGCTTCCTTAAGGTCAGCCGAGGGCTGAACTCTGGAGTCTGTAAATAACAGCAGGGACAGGTGAATGGAAAGGTGGAACAGCCTGGGTCAGACTTTGCCTTCTGAAGCTTTTTTTATTTTATTTTTTTAAAAGCAAGCCAGGTAGGATTTGTTCAAACGGACTGATGCATTATTAAAGGAATAGTTCAACATTTTAGAAATCCACAAACACTATCCTGTCGACAGCACGATGAGAAGATATCGTAGAGCTTACCTGCGACACCACAATGAACAGCAGCTGGTTGGCTTAGTGAAGGAGAATATAGGCAGTCCTAAAGAACCTAAACTAACACATTTTATCAGTTTGTTTAATCTGTGCAAAAACCAAAGAGGAGAAAAAACAGCAATTTGCTGTTTTACTGAGGGGTTACGTGCCTGAGTGTTTCTTAGCTGGGAGCTGTGACCTCAATCTTGTGAGGCTGCTGGAAACCAGCAGAAACTCATAACAGCCCCCCAGACAACCCAAACCAATTTGTTTTAGAGGCAGCTTTAGTTATCAACACATTCCCTGTTTTCAGTCTTTGCATCAAACTAAGGTAACAGCTGCTGCTGCAGTCTGTTATCTAATTTACATACACCACAGTGGTACTTATCTTCTCATATTACCAGCTGCAAAATAAGAGAATAGATGCATTTCCCTAAATGTTGAACTTCTTCTTCTGAACCTGCGATACTGACTGGCAGTAAACTCAACAGCTGAATATTCCCACTTCAGTTTAGAGTTTTTCTTTTCACAACTTTCAACACTGGAAATATATATTTTTAGATATTTCTTGAGAACTTTCTAACTTCTAAAGGAGACCATCTGATCTGACTGATGCAACAGCTGCTCGGGTCTCGTTAAAGTCAGGCTGTGAAAGAACGACTGAATCCAGCTGTGGCGGAAATACACAATTACTCTTTAGCAATCTTCTGAATTCAAACTAAACTGTAATAAAAAACGAACTGAGCGGTGTCTGACCATGTGCGTGGTGGGTGACATGGAGTCGGTTTCGTCCTCATCTGAAAGGTCTGCCATGTTCACAGAGTTCAGATCGGCGATGTCGTCTATGTCCTCCTCGCCCGTCAGGGACGTCAGCGTGTTGCCCAGAGCGTTGAGGCGCTTGCCGATATTGGGGTCCATGTGAACGGCGATTCCACACATCTTCCAAAGCACATTGAGAGTCCAGGTACCAGCGCTGCTGCTTTCTGTTTTGGTGAAAAGGAAGCCAGGAGTGAGAGGGAAAACAGTGGATGATGTTGGGAAAATTAATGCAATAAATAATAAAATTTTCCACACAGTCTCAATATCATTGTGCAGCTCTAGGGTGTGATCTATATTTAATAGACCAGAGCACAGTTAAAAGAACTTGCCTGCAGAGGGCTGCCCTGTAGTCCTGGAACACACTTCATATGTACCGTCAGGGACTACACCTGCACACAAGTACATACAAACAAATATCTTTCATGATCTCTATAGAGACACACTGACAGTCTTCTTCTGCCCACTAGCTCACAAATCAAATGTGAACGGGCTCACACAGTACAGAATTTGTATTTGAAATGGCTTTCTGCAACACTTAGATAAAAACATTTGCATAAACTGTGTCACTCACAAGCATTCATGACGATTTCTCCCCGGACTTCAGGCTTCCAGTCGTCCCAGGAGGTCTCGAAGCCCTCGGCAAAGCGGATGCAGAAATTTTTGAAGTGTCCTTTACTCACCAGGGACTCGGAGGAGCAGGCGGTGATCAGTGTGCTCTCGATGGTCAGGACCAGCGCAGAGCCCGTGTCAAAATCTATGCTGTGATTGGCCTGGTGGAATGGCAGGGAGAAAGGTTACTCTGGCCTCAAGGGAGAGAGGAGAAGGGGGGAGAGTACAAGGAAAGGCAAACCACCTCCATTTGTTTGGAAAAGGAAGCGTTGGCAACACTTCATTCTGTACAGCTGTCATCAACTTAACCAAATATTAAGAACAATAGCACAATGGCAAATTATTGCACATTAAAGGGGATTTGCTATGCTTATTTCCAGCTCTAAACATTTTAGCTTGGACTCTAGATTATACATGATTCACGGTACAAAACAAATAATCCTTTTTACACCTTTCTGGCCTCTGTATAGTCTGTCTCCACACAAGCTGGTTTAACACCCTTTGCACCGTCTCTTTAATGCATCTTTATTCTTATGGCCTAAAACTCACCAACGGAAGGTTTGAATGGCAGGTGAAAGAGTGGAGCCAGAACTGTGTATTGTAAAGACTGGGCATCATAAAGATCCAAAAGGTCTGAAACTTTTTTGTTTGTTATTTTAGCATGTTTAATATTCACGTCCACCTGAAAATAAGTCAAAAGCTTAACAAGACAGGTCCACTTTAAAACCTTCGAGGGAACAAGTTTAAGTGCTACTGACATAAATCTATCTCTGAGTGAAGTGTTACCAAGCTCTTCAGTACATTTCAAGTTCAAATGCAGAAAATCAGTGATTAAAGAAGAAAAAACAAACAAACAGAAACCCACACATCCAAATTACATGAATTTGATTAACCTGACATTAGTCCCAGAATAGCAGTCTGATCATTATCATTAGGAAAATACATATATCTGTATCTGAACTATTTACTAGCCCATTTCAATCAGCTGGATGAAAATAATCAGACCACAATTTTGGGGCAGCTATTACAAGATCCCAGATATAAGCCAATGCAAAATACCACATGCATACAAGCGTAGAGAGAGCCCACCATGTGCAACACTGCACCTAACTATATTCTTAATCTAGTCTCGCATATAGAAACGTATATAACTTAAAAGCACTCACATAATCAATACTCTGGATACCAACAGGCATAACTTTTATTATGAAAACACACCTAAAACACCAGCCCGAGCTTCACTACTTGTTATGCCGCCATTAGAGAAGCTTTTTTTTAAAACCACAAAGCACCTATGATGCAGTATACTGCAGTGTGACAGGTTTTATAGAAGAGCGTCACTCAGTATCAGTCAACACCTCACACCAAGCCATCCCAAGAGATGTAATAAACTTTTGGTTACTTTTCGTGCATTTCTTTGCTGGCCTGCTGAAGAGCTGGCCCCAGCTTCAGAGTTTGTGCCCTCCGTAACTGGTTCTTGTCCTCTCTATGGAAATAAGTGTAACATAACTGTCTGCATCTGAAATCTTTCCAATCCTAGCATGCAAAGTAGAATAAGGATAATTCAAACTATGATGAATGAGTACAGTAAAATATAGGACACCCAATATGCACATGCACATGTTGACTTAAAGTAACTGTGAGGAAGCCTGTCTGTTGGGACTGTATACAGATTTACAGCAATTGTTGAGGAGGCACTGACATAAGATGTGATAAGAGTAGCTCAACATCACTGAACAGTTCTTAAGGCTGTTAGTTTGGCATCAGTCTCACATGCCTGCAGACTGGTTGGTGTTGAGCTGGAAATCTCCCGAAGCCAGGGAAAAATGTGGATTGTCTAACCAGTTAGCAAGTGTTTTTGCTGCAAGTTGCTGGCTGCTGCTTGGTGGAATCAGCAGCCTTCAAAGTAAAGACAGTGTCTTATGACTGTAACCAACATGTTTCAACATAAACTAGTTTTACTTTGAAGGCAAGCAGTCTGCATTTCCAGTTTACCTACTGCTACACTAGGTGAGTGAGTATTTGCAGACATAGGAAATCAATGTCTTCCATGAAAACTACTGCAGATTGTGGCATCTACTAGCAATCAGTATACTAGTAGATTCATCAGTACATTAAAATGGAAGCAAGCCATAGAGCCACAAGCAGAGCACCTTGTTGGGGATTTTTGTTTTTTATAACTTTTCAAAGTGTGTATTTCAAGTCAGCATATATTAAAACTTTTACAAAACAAAATAAGTTGTGCACTTTATATCCTAAACCGAGCTTAAAAATATATAAGATTATTTATAAGAAAACAATCTAACGCTCAAAGGGACTGACCAATGACACTTGGGAGACTCAGTCATAGCATATTACCTGAGATGTGTTGGTAATTGGCAGGCAAATACCCAGGTCATTGACTGTCAGTTGCAGAAAGAGGGTGCTGAATGCCTGGGCGGAGGTCTGTTGAATGCCTGGCAGCTTATCCACCACTTCTTTTGTGGCCACGTGAATGTCCTTGTTGAGGGCCATACGCTGCTCATTCCAGTTGTCATATGCAGCTTTGTAGTTTAGCCAGAAGAGCACAGCTGCAGAAGAGCACAGTGGTGGGATGAATAAACATTAAATAAGATCTCACATGTCATTTAAGTAATTTATATCAAATTTTGAGATGCTAAGGAACCAAAAACTCCAAATATGGATCTAAATAAGGAAAATCTGTTTTTCCCAGAGCTTAAATAAAATCACACACCCATCCCACTTTACCCACCAGTGTTGGAATTGGCATCAAAGTGTGAAATAATGTTACACAGTATAAAAACATTAAAACCTATATTTTATACTGTTGATTGTTCAGTGTTACCCAACAACATTAATAGGAACAGAAAGTCTTTCTCCAGTAATGTCACCTAAATATGTCAGCTACATGTCTGAGTCTTATTAAACCAGACTAAGTAAGACTGACGGAGTCATCTTAACAGACAGACATGTTTCTAAAATTTCTACAAAGTGTTTGATGGGTCAGATTATTCAGACACACTAACAATGAATAATGTATAATGGGAGTTTGACAAAATGTTAACAGAAGCTGAAGTTCAGCAGGTGCTTCCAGCTGAAGATGTTTTGAGTTTATTACATTAACTGCAACATCAGTTAGTAGCAGCAACTTGTAAACACATGGAAAAGAAGCAAAAACTTAATCACTTGGAACAAATTATCCCGGACAGGTTTGATAAGGATCCAACAACACATTACATTGTGTTCCTTCCTCACATAGTCACAGCTTTTAAGCTGTCACATCCATTTACTAAACTTTATTACACGTGTACACACACACACACACACACACACACACACACACACACACACACACACACA